CCAAGATCCCTTTGTACTCTGAGGTAACTTTCTTGGCTGTCACTACACCTCCAATTTTAGTCACCTGCAAATTTTGACTCTGAAATGGTTACCAAAAAGCTTTCAGAATTCACGTTTTCAGTGGATTTCTGTTTGACAGAGAAGAGAAGCAAAAATACTGATTACATTAAAATAAAACAATCTATAAACAAAGATATTTTATTAATCAACTTCAAATTACAAATTATGAAAATGTCTATATTGTCTCCTAATTTGTAAATTTGCACGGTTGATAACGTTTAGCTGAGAATTTCCTGTGGTCTCCTTTTAGGACATTTCTTTAAAAAAGCTTTTCATGTGTACACTTTGTACACTGTATATGTTCAGACTGCCTTTAACCACAGATTGCCCATTCAAAACCACACAGTTAAGTTTAGTCACTTTATAATGAAATGCATCTTTAAACATCTTTATTTTAAAATAGTTAGTTTGCAAGCAGATTGGAAGAAAATAATAGACTTTGTTTTGAACAGTTTGAATATTCAAAGTGTGAAGTTATAGTTGGGTGGGTCAGTCAGGTGCAAAAACAATGATTTTCCATGCAGCAAATCTAGTTTTGCATTAGATTGAACCAAAAATGTTTCTGATAAATCTGTGTAATCTAATTGGTAATGCTTCTAGTGTTCACAGAGTCAGAGTACACTAAGGGCAGTTTTTTTGAGGCTAAAAATGTAGTTGTCTATTGTGGAAATGTTTAGAGCATTCAGCAGAGGCCAGGTTAAAACCTGGATAGATCAGTTAACAGGTTGAAATTCAAGCAGTATATTTGTTCCTACAAAAGTGTTCAATGTTTCAAAATTGCTTTACATTTTGGCAAATAATTGATTGCAGGAGGCAAAAGGTGTAAATAAGCAAGAATTGTGGTATTAGCCTTCATAGATTTGCACCTAATGTGAAGTTGTTCAATTCTTCAATATTTTTTAAGTCACTTTCCACTCTTGATAAATTGGAAGTCCAGGTTGGGTGTCATATTTGAGATGAATAATCTAGTCCGATGTGATGGAATAAATTTAAATATGGTTGTAATAAGTTTTGCTGTCTAGGAGAGTGACAGAAAAATCATTACTGTGTTTAGCACTCAATTTGCAGTTCCTCCATCAGTTTTGTGAATATTTGTTCCCAACACTGGCATGGACAAGTTGGACCAAAGAGCCTGTTTCCATGCTGTATGACCCAATGACAATGGGTGGTAGATGTTTGGGACTGTCTTCCACAAATGGCAGTGGATGGAGGAGCAGTTATTCATTTTAAATCTGAGAATTTTTGGTAAGCAGAAGTATTAAGGACTATGGGCCAAAAGCAGATATATGGAGTTGGACCACAGATCAGCTGTGATCTCGTTGGTGGAACAGACTTGAGGGGCTGAATGGTCTACTTTTGTTCTATGTTTCTAGAAGCTGGAGTGTCACAAAACCTCTACTATCCTGACATGACACCTGAGTTACTTGTATTGAGAAGAAAAACAAGTCTACTCGTTTTTTTTTGTCTTCTAATGACATTCTGTCACTCTTTTTGGAGGTGTTGATAAAACCGAGACCCTGTCTGCCATCTTAGATGGACATTAAAGATTATCTGACCATTTATCACTTTGCTGATTGAAGGAACTTTGCACATGCTTGTTGCCATGTTTCCTGTATTTCTTCAATAACAACATTTCATAAGTGTTTAATTGGCTTAAAATCTTCTGAACATTGTCGTTAGGAAAGACAACATAAATGCATGTTTTTGTTTTGTGGCAGAACAGCTGACAATCCAGCATGGGTCAGACTCTGACCTGTTATTGAAAATAAGGATTATATCTGAGGCCACAATTAAATGTTACATCACGATGCCAGACAACATCTTGAATGGGAGATATTCTCTTATTCCCACCCTCTCCGACATATCTAATGGTGGCAGTGTTATACATAAGGCAGACAATGAATACACGCTTGCACTGAGCATGGGACGTGTTATCTCTTTACATCTCTGTCCTCTATCAAGATGATATCGGCCTCTCCACTTCCTGGACTGTCCCCATTCACCACACCCTCCTTTGCCTGGCTGATCTCGCCCCCACCTGTGAGCAATTTCTCTTAATTCCTGTCACTTCCTTCAGGTCAGTGGTGTGGCCATGGGTACCTGCATGGGCCCCAGTTATGCCTATCTTTTTGTAGCACCTGGAACATTCCTAATCTAGCCCCCAACCACAAGCCTTTCTCCAGTATATTGATGACATCATTGGTGCTGCTTCCCTCTCTTGTCTGAAATTGGAGAAGTTTATCTATTTTGCTTCCGATTTTTCACCCCATTCTCACATTCAGCTGGTCCATTTCTCATTCCTCCCATCCATTTGTCAACATCTGTTTCCATTTCTGGGGATAAGCTGGCCACCAGTATCCACTACAAACCCACTGACTCTGTTACCTTGACTACTCATCTTCACACCCTGCTTCCCTGGAAAGATCCTATTCCATTCTTCCAGTTTCTCCATCTCTATCGCATCTGTTTTGATGATGCCAACTTTGACAGTGGGGGTCACTGAAATGTCCACCTTTTTCCTCAACCGAGGATTCCCAAGGACTGTAGTTGACAGGGCCCTCAGCCAGGTCCGACCATCTCCCAGACTTTGGCCCTCAGTCTCTCTCTTTGCTCTCTCAACAGTGATAGGATCCCCCTTGTCCTCCCCTACCATCCCACCATCATCCACATCTACAAGATCATTAGCTGTTATTTCTGCCACTTCCAGTGAGATGCCTCCACCAGACACATTCCCCTCCCCTCCCTGGTCAGCCTTCCGCAGGGACAGTTCCCTCTGGACATCCTGGTCCACTCCTTCGCTCCCAATATGTCCCCATGCCCCACAACACCATCTCCTGTAAATGCAGAAGGTGTAACACTTGCCTGTTTACTTCCTGCCTTTTCAGTATCCAAGGGCCCAAACATACCTTCCAAGTGAAGCAGCATCTTACCTGCACTTCACTCAATCTAGTCTACAGTATTCACTGTTCACAATGTAGTCTCCTCTACATTGGGGAAACGAAGCACTGACTGGGTGACCACTTGGCAAACACCTGCATTCTATCTGCTAAAAAGATCCTGAGCCTTCTAGTTGCCTGCCACTTCAACACATCACCGTATTCTCTGGCCAACAACTCTATCTCAGGCAGTGCTCAAGCGAAGCTCAGTGCAAGCTAGAAGAACAGCACCTCATTTTCCAACTGGGAACTCTGAACTCTATCGGTTGAACAATTTTAAGGCTTGAGCACCTTCTCCCATGTCCTTACCCCAATCCCCATAACACCAGGCCTGTCATCACATGGTCTAATATTGCATACAGCTCATTGTTCAACACTAATAGTCACCATTAGCAGCTATTTATTCTCCCAGGCTGACCTTTACCCACTCCTTTGTCCAACTGTTTTTCTCTCTATTTGGGCTCTATCTCCCCCAGTGTTTCTCCTCTCCGCTCCCACGCCCCACCCCCAAAGAAAACTCCATCTTTTGCACAAATACCAGCCTTTTCCTAGCTATATTCAGTTCTGAAGAAGGGTCACTGGACCCCACTGCCTTCTCTGTGCAGATGTTGCCAGACCTGTTAAGTATTTCCAGCAATTTGTTTTTGTTTCAGTTTCAATATGGTTGATCTGTACCTGAACTTACTTTACCAACTTGGTGCCATAGCGAGTGGTAGGTACCCTTACCAGAGGAAAAAAAATCTATTGTCTCAGTACTTGGCGGGCGGGAGGAGTGGAAGTCAAATTTCCCCAAATCTATCCACTCTGCTCATTTTTGTTAGAATTTATTTTCTCTACTTAAGGGACTTGCTGAGCAACTTGTTGTTGAAATGAAACTTTTACTGAGAATGCTATTTGATAGTTAGGGCTTTGTTCTTCTTTGACATGCGTTATGACAGTGCTTAAAGAGTATCATGAGAACGTAGGTGAAACTGTTGTGTCAATGTGCCATAAAAACACATGCTGGAAATACTCATCAGGCCTGGTAGCATATGGGAAGCTGAACAGAATTAGCATTTTAAGACATTGATCTTTCACAGTGAGAATGGCGTGGAGTTTATTCACCCTTTTAACATGTACACAACTGTTTACTATTCTTCAGGAATATGCTTTAGAACGGTGTCTTGCTTATTTAAGTATTCAGATTTACACAACGAATGTCTTTCTCTTGACCAATTTCTGGAGATCTCTAGTCTCATTAATTTCACTGTTGCCTCCTTTTAAGCTCCACATAGTCAATTAAAAGTAAATGATCTATTTTGACTTTGTTGTTGGAATTGTTTTTTCTGCAGTGTATTAATCCTGCAAATTGAATGTATTGGTTCACTCTTCTTTAACTGAGACATTCTTTGCCAGCATTCCTGGTTAGCAGTCCTCAAATATAAAATTGCCTCAGTATATGGCACACTGAGCAAGATGGTTTTTGAGTATAAGTGTACAACGTTGGTGTCTGTATTTGTTCAACCTGTTTGGTTGAAATTGAAGTGAAATGGAAGATAATGTGCTGTTTGCACAACAGGATCGTTTTATTCATTCATTTCCTTTTGTATTAGTCATAGATGTTAAAGAAGAAACAAGAAGGTGGAGAAGGAGCGATAACGCTGTGACAGAGCTCCTTTCAAAGTTATCTTCTTCCTTTGGTCCTTTCAGAGGATGAGAATTAGTGCCTCATACTGTAGATGCTAAGAGTCCAATGTTTCATCTAAAAGTAAACTTGCCCAGTGAACCTGGGCAGTTCAAGGGCACAATCTGTCTTCAACTGTGCTTTAGCAACTTGAATGGCAATGTAGCAATCTAGTGGTAAATTCAGGTGCGTAGAATCTCCCCTAGCCAGGAGCACGAGGGACAAACATTGAGCCCCTGTGTCTGGAATCAGTGCTAGTCTGAGAGATAGTGGATTTGCTCACTGAGGTTGACCTTTTAAAAGTAGTATTGACTCGCCTTGTGTCATTTATGTCTCTGCAGCTTTTAATTGGTTTCGAATCTGGAACTTTGGTATTGTGGGACCTTAAATCAAAGAAGGGAGAGTACAGATACAGCTACGATGAGGTAAATAATGCTTTGACTGAACACCAATGTGTTGTTATAATTAGGATTATCAGTGGGTAGAGTTTGGAATTTTCATTGCAGTCTTGTTCACTGCTTGGAAACATTTACATTTCCTCTACATGAGTAAATCTGCATGTTAAACTTGTCTCTGCCTATTTGGATTCTTTGGATACTATGGATTCTTTTCGACTAGTATGGTGGTAGTAGTAATGAGTATATTCCTCTCAGACAAGCAAGAAAATACTTTCTTGTGCTTCTCATCCTTGGACCTTGAATTATTCGAACAATTTTGAATCTCAAATCTGTTGAATGTTGGAAACCCTTATCTGTAACAGTTATTTAGAGGTTGTTTGTAGAACTGTCCACCAGATGCTAATGTAATTTTATTTAAATATTGCCCAAGATTTTGGGGAAGGTGGAAGAAAGACTGACAAATTTGACCATATCAGGAACAAATGGCCTAATGAATAGCAGAAACAAAAGCCTGTCCTGAGGGAGGGTTTCTTTCCATTCAGGCTGCCAGACCTGAGATTTTCTTGTAATTACTGTTTTTGATTCTGATTTCCAGCATCTACAGTTTTTTTAGCTTTATTTTCAATAAATATTAGAGTAGGCCATTCCAATTTTCTGTTCAGATTTGCAGATTTAACCTCCATAGAGGTTGTCCAAAAATGTTTGTTATTATAATGCTTTTGATCCAGGGCCACGTGGTTTTTAAAGTCCTGATAGACATACAGACAATTGTCTCTACGTTTTTAGACGCTGCTTACATCTGTATGCTGAAATTATTATGTCCTATCATTTGCAAACTTCCTTTTATGGTCTTTGTGACTTGCCCAATGTCAGTTATATTTGACACATGTAAATCCTGCTTTAATAGGATTTTCCAATAACAATCCCTACCCCTTTGTCATGTTTACTCATCACATGACAATTCCCCTATTTAAAAACATTTTCTGAGTCTTTCAGTGATTCCAAGCTCTGGCCACTAGTGCTGAAAAATTACTTTCTGAATTGTCATAATGTAGATTATTACAATGTTGATGTGAGTAATGAGGTGACATGTTCAGTTTGCTAAGTTTCACTTCTTTATTTCTCCTCTTGAGTTATAGATTTCTCCAGGGTTTTTCTAACCTGTTGTTGTTATTGACCATTCACATTCCTACTTTGGTACTTAACAAGAGGAACTTGTATTTATACAGCAGTTTTGACATACAAAACATTGTAACGTTCTTCATTGGAACATTATGAAAAACCATTTGACATCAACTACGTGGTAAACTTCCAGATTGTTTGTATCTTGGAGAAAAAGAAGTCAGTGGGCTCATTTTACAGTTGCTTGGAGAGGAATTTAAGACTATTTGCAGTCAGAAAAGAAACTCGAATAAATCGAAGTGAAACTCAAAATGCAAGAGGCTCTCTTGCATCAGAAAACTGCAAGCTGCGGTAAAATGCTACTAATCTCCACTAGAAACTACACGTTTCAAATGCAGGAATGCAACAGCATCTAATTTTGAGACTAATAAAATAACACTGCAGTGCTTTTGGTCATATTTTCAATCACTTTCACTCAACCCTGCTGGCATGCACAAAAATGTTTCAACCCCAAATGTACCTTTCTGATTGCTACTTGCTCAATTTATGGACTTCGTATGGGCTAACATTCTACATTATACCTAGTCACTTTAATTTAGACATATCTGTTGTTACAATAAGAGATATATAATCAAAAGGAGCCTTCACTTATAACTATTCCTTTATTTTGTGCTTTTATAAAGATTATAACAAATAAGCTGGGCACGTGTGTTCATAATTTTCGTGTTGCTATGAATATTTTTGAGTAAGGCTCTGTATTCCAATCCACTTTATTCTTCACACATCTGATAATTGCAGTGAAGCAGGGAACAGTGGCCTGCAGTCAGTGTCACGTGAAGCAGGGTGAGCCTACAGTCAGCAGTACAATGAAGCAGGCTTGGCAGAGTAGCCAGTATTCAGCGTCATGGTGAAGCAGAGTGGCCTACAGTCAGCAATACGGTGAAGCAAGGTGGGCAGAGTAGCCTGAAGTCAGCGGTGAGCTTATAGACTGGTTTATGGAGAATTTGAAGACAGGATGGTCAAACCAAACATCAGACCTAGCACACTTGCTCATCAGGAGTGAGTACCTTTGGTTGAAGCCAATTGTATTCTGAAAGTCTAAGGTTTTTAGAGTAGATCTGTAGCTTGGGTTGTGAGTGTTGAGGTTGGTTAGCTTGCCGAGCTGGTTTCTTGTATCGCAGACATTTCATTACCGTGCTTGGTAACCTCCTCAGTGCAGCCTCTGATGAAGCGTCGGTGTGTTTTCCCACATGGTTTTTAAACTCTGGGGTCCGTTGCGATGGATTGCCTCACTTCCAGGTTTCCTCCGTAGTGGAATGTATATGGGGTCGAGTTCAATGTATTTATTAATAGCATGCTTCGTGGAGTGCCATGCTTCCAGGAATTCTCGTGCTTGTCTCTGCCTAGCCTGTCCCAGTTGAAGTCGTGGTTCTCCTTGTCCATGTGGATTGAGATGAGCGAGTATTGATCGTGTCTTTTTGTAGCCAGTTGGTGTTCATGTACTCTTAGTTTCCTTCCTGTTTGTCCAATTATAGTGTTTCTCGCAGTCTCCGCAGGGGATCTTATAGATGACATTGGTCCTGTCCATGGCGGGGAGTGGGTCTTTAGTTCGGGTGAGCACTTATCGTAGGGTTGGTGTGGGCTTGTGTGCCACTCTGATGCCCAGCGGTCGTAGAAGTCTTGTGGCAAGTTCTGACGTGTTCCTGATGTAGGGTAGTGTGTGTGTGTGTCGGGGTGTGTAGAATCTTTCTGATGCTGTTCCTGTAGGCATCTCCTGACCCAGTTCTTTTGGATATCCATTATCCTTGAACACTTGGAAGAGGTATTCCTCCTCCTCTTGGTGTAGTTCCATGTTGCTGCAGTGTGTTGTTGCCCTTTTAAATACTGTTTAAATAGTGTTCCGGGAATAGAATTCCTGGAAGCATGGCACTCCATGAAGCATGCTATTAATAAACACGTTGAACTCGACCCCACATATATTCCACTACGGAGGAAACCCGGAAGTGAGGCAATCCATCGCAACGGACCCCAGAGTTTAAAAACCAGGCGGGAAGACACACCGATGCTTCATCAGAGGCTGCGCTGAGGATGTTACCAAGCAATGCGAGAAACCAGCTCGGCAAGCCAACCAACCTCAATATTCTGAAAGTCTTCAGAGTGTACGCATTGGTGGCAAAGTTAATACAATGCATAAAGCAACATAGGTGAATAATATTATTAAATTAGTTAACAAACCCATTCAGTGGCAGTACAGAGTATGTGTCAAAACCGCAGAATATGGGAGCTCAAGGAAATCATTGTGATCCAGGGCAAATATATCTGCAGCAAGTGTTTGATGTTAAACCAACTTCAAGTCCAGAGTTTGAGCTGGAGGCTGGACTGTGGACACTGATTTATCAGGAAGGGTGAAATTCACCTGGATTCTTTTACAGGGGTCAGTCCTATCTCCTTGGATAGGGTGTGATGACATGGTCAGTGATAAGAAAATAGACCGTTATATTCTTTTCTCACTTTGTTTGGTCTGGAACATCGACTTGAAGTTCAGAATTGAACTTTGAGCAACACCTTCCCTTTTTTTTAAAATAGAAGGGAATGAAGGCAGGTATTTTCTGTTGGGAACTGGCCTGGAAAGATGTTGTAACTTAATTACTGATCCAAGAATATGAGATGAATCAGCACTGAGCTTTTGCTATACTCGGGGCTGGCAGCTGGTTGGATATTAAATTGGTTAGTCAAAGGAGAACTGGTTCTGTCTGGGTTTGGCTGGAGACTTCTGAAGATAGTGCTGCTTGGTTTTGTGCTCCCTGTAGTTTCTCTCTCATTATAAAATTTATGGAGGTTTCTGAGAAAAGAATCCCAGTCTTTAATGAAATAAGTAAAGATTTCTAGAGGTCTGCTGAAACTTTGCATTAACCAGTGACTTTAGGATTCCAGAATGATGTAGAGTACTCCTTGCCTGTGCACAACACATTGCTGGTCTAAGGATTTCATGAAGGCCTGGTATCAGTTGCTGAAAATTGTTCATTGAACTGGAAAATTACAGTTCTTTTGTTTCTAAAATTTTATCTGTTTAAGAGTGGGAGGTTTATGATCAAAGAATAAAAGAACAAAAGAGAAGTACAGCACAGGAACAGGCCCTTCGGCCCTCCAAGCCTGTGCCCATCATCGTGCCCTGACTAAACTCAAAAAAAAAAACCACCTGCCCTTATTTGGTCCATATCCCTCTATTCCCTCCCTATTCATGTAACCCCAGGTGCCTCTTAAATGTCACCAGTGTGCCTGCTTCCACCACCACCTCTGGCAGTGCATTCCAGGCTCCTGCCATTCTCTGCGTGGAAATCTTTCCACAAACATATCTCCCTTTAAACTTGTCTTCTCACCTTGAACCTGTGCCCTCTTATAATTGAAGCTTCAACCCTGGGGAAAAAGCCTCTGATTATCCACCATCTTTGCCCCTCATAATTTTGTAGACCTCTATCTGGTCTCCCTCGGCTGCCCGTCTTTCCAGTGAAAGCATTCCTAGTCTTTTTAACCTTTCCTCATAGCCAATGCTCTTGAGACCTGGCAACATCCTGGTGAGCCTTCTCTGCATTTTCTCCAAAGCTTCCACGTCCTTCTGGTAATGAGGTGACCAAAACTGCACACAATACTCCAAATGCAGCCTAACAAGGGTTTTACATAGCTGCAACATGTTTTGCCAGCTCTTGTACTCCATGCCCCAGCTGATGAAGGCAAGTATGCCATATGCCGCCTTAACCACTTTGGCCACCTGTATTGGCACTTTTGGGGAACTGTGGACCTGCATGCCCAGATCTGTCTATGTTGATGTTTGTAAGGATCCTGCCATTAACAGTATAATTTGCACCTAAATTTGACCCTCCAAAATGCATCACCTCGCATTTTTC